GGAGAAGTCGAACCGGCGGAAATCGAAAGGCTAATGAGGCCTCCACTGAAAAATCGGAATCCGAATCGGAATCCAGAGTCGAATCGAATCGGAATCGAAAGTCATCGAAATCGAACGGAATCGAGTCGGAGGAGCCGAAACGAGTCGGCGGCGCGCGAGGGGAGGCAGTGAGAAGGGGCGGGCCTTCTGAGAAGGCTCAGAAGTCCCCCGGCCTTCTGAGAAGGTTCCCAAAACCCTTCCCCGAGGACGCCCCCGCGCTCCGCGCGCCAGGGAGGGGGGTCCAGCGCCGATCCGAGAGATCCGCGCGGACCTCCAAGGTTTTATGTTTATGTCATTGTTCCCCTATAAGAAGAGACCCAAGGGTCCACAAAAACTCGAGGGCTGACAAAAAACAGAGAGTCCCCCCAAAAAGCCTTGCGCCTATCTAAACTGCGAGGGTTCAGGTTCGACCGAGGGGCTGCTCAGACCCTCGGGCGTTTGTCTGTTCGGGCCCTGGCTTGTTTTTGTTGAGACCCTGCGCTGAGGCGCGGCAAAGACCCTCCCTCCCTCCCTCCCTCCCTCCCTCCCTCCCATCCTCCCTCCCTCCCTCCTCCTCCTCCTCCTCCTCCTCCTCCTCCTCCTCCTCCTCCTCCTCCTCCTCCTTTTCCTCCTCCCCGTGCCGAAGGTGTGCACGGCCCCAGTCTGGAGCAATCGGGGAAGACGCACGGGGCGCCTGTAAGGAGAATTCGCGATCTCCGAAGAGCACCTCCCTTGAACTCACTGGGGTTTCGCCACCGGGGCGACGCAGGCCAGTAGGTTGTTGAAGGGGCAGTGGCCCCTCATGTGTCGACCACGCATGTGGGCGAGGGGCATTACCCCCAATCGTTGGCATGCTCATACGTCACTTCATGCACACGCTTTTGGTGCACATGCTTATGGGGAGTGTGACCCCCTCACGCAGGGGCGTCCCTCATGCGTTGATGTTGATGTCGTCATTCGCATGCTTAAGGGGAGGGTGACCCCCTCACGCAGGGGCGTCCCTCATGCGTTGATGTTGTCACGCACATGCTTATGGGGAGGGTGACCCCCTCACGCAGGGGCGCCCCTCATGCGTTGAGGCTGTCATGCACATGCTTTTGGGGAGGGTGACCCCCTCACGTAGGGGCGCCCCTCATGCATTGATGTTGTCATGCACATGCTTATGGGGAGGGTGACCCCCTCACGTAGGGGCGTCCCTCATGCGTTGATGTCGTCATGCACATGCTTATGGGGAGGGTGACCCCCTCACGCAGGGGCGTCCCTCATGCGTTGGTGTTGTCATGCACATGCTTATGGGGAGGGTGACCCCCTCACGCAGGGGCGCCCCTCATGCGTTGATGTTGCCATTCAGATGCTTATGGGGAGGGTGACCCCCTCACGCAGGGGCGTCCCTCATGCGTTGATGTCGTCATGCACATGCTTATGGGGAGGGTGACCCCCTCACGCAGGGGCGCCCCTCATGCGTTGATGTTGCCATTCTGATGCTTATGGGGAGGGTGACCCCCTCACGCAGGGGCGTCCCTCATGCGTTGATGTCGTCATGCACATGCTTATGGGGAGGGTGACCCCCTCACGCAGGGGCGTCCCTCATGCGTTGATGTTGCCGTGCACATGCTTATGGGGACCCCCTCACGCAGGGGCGTCCCTCATGCGTTGATGTTATCAGTCAAATGCTTATGGAGAGGGTGACCCCCTCACGCAGGGGCGTCCCTCATGCGTTGATGTTGTCATGCACATGCTTATGGGGAGGATGACCCCCTCACGCAGGGGCGTCCCTCATGCGTTGATGTCGTCATGCACATGCTTATGGGGAGGGTGACCCCCTCACGCAGGGGCGTCCCTCATGCGTTGATGTTGCCATGCACATGTTTATGAGAAGGGTGACCCCCTCGCGCAGGGGCGGCCCTCACCGTTGATGTTGTCATGCGCATGCTTATTGGGATGGTGACCCCCTCACGCAGGGGCGTCCCTCATGCGTTGATGTTGCCGTGCACATGCTTATGGGGAGGGTGACCCCCTCACGCAGGGGCGCCCCTCATGCGTTGATGTCGTCATGCACGTGCTTATGGGGGGGGTGACCCCCTCACGCAGTGGCGCCCCTCATGCGTTGATGTTGCCATGCACCTGCTTATGGGGAGGGTGACCCCCTCACGCAGGGGCGTCCCTCATGCGTTGATGTTGCCATTCAGATGCTTATGAGGAGGGTGGCCCCTCACGCAGGGGCGTCCCTCATGCGCTGGCGTTGTCTGCACATGCTTATGGGGAGGGTGACCCCCTCACGCAGGGGCGTCCATCATGCGTTGGTGTTGTCATGCGCATGCTTATGGGGAGGGTGACCCCTTCACGCAGGGGCGTCCCTCATGCGTCCATGATGTCATGCGCATGCTTATGAGGAGGGTGACCCCCTCACGCAGGGGCGTCCCTCATGCGTTGATGTGGTCTGCACATGCTTATGGGGCGGGTGACCCCCGCACGCAGGGGCGCCCCTCATGCGTTGATGCGGTCATGCACATGCTTCTGGGGAGGGTAACCCCCCCACGCAGGGGCGTCCCTCATGCGTTGATGTTGTCATGCACATGCTTATGGGGAGGGTGACACCCTCACGCAGGGGCGTCCTTCATGCGTTGATGTTGTCATGCACATGCTTATGGTGAGGGTGACCCCCTCACGCAGGGGCGTCCCTCATGCGTTGATGTTGTCATGCACATGCTTATGGGGAGGGTGACCCCCTCACGCAGAGGCGTCCCTCATGCGTTGATGTGGTCATGCACATGCTTATGGGGAGGGTGACCCCCTCACGCAGTGGCGTCCTTCATGCGTTGTTATGGTCATGCACATGCTTATGGGGAGGGTGACCCCCTCACGCAGGGGCGACCCTCATGCTTGATGTTGTCATGCACATGCTTATGGGGAGGGTGACCCCCTCACGCAGGGGCGTCCCTCGTGCGTTGATGTTGTCATGCGCATGCTTATGCGTTGTTGTTGTCGTGCACATGCTTTCGTGTCGTCCGTCGGCCTGTCGGCCGCGCTTCGGCGCCGCACCTCACCCTCACCCTCACCCTCCTCCTCCTCCTCCTCCTCCTCCTCCTCCCCCTCCTCCTCCTCCTCCTCCCCCTCCTCCTCCTCCTCTTCCTCCTCCTCCTCCTCCTCCTCCTCCTCCTCCTCCTCCTCCACCCCCTCCCCCAGGAAGAACATCGGACCGGGGACCTCTGAGATCTGGCGGGCCTGCAGGATGCATCGGGCACCACGGCCGTGCAAGAGCACTCCCGAACGCTCCGGGAGCGTGCCGCAACGAGCCGTCCCCGTGCTGCAGCCCCCGCGCTGTCACCGTCCCCCTTCTGGCAGCCTCGCGCCGTGTTTTCCGAGCGGTCCTGCGGCGTTGGGCCCTCGCCTTGAAGGGACAGTCCCCGCGTCCGTCCTCCTCCCTCCATTCCATCCTCCACCCCCTCGCCCTCCCTGCCTCTGCCCCCCGCGTGTCCATGTCGGCACACCCCTCACACGCTCCGCGGCCCCATGGGGACCTTCACCGAAGTCCCCAGTGGTTGCGTCCGCATGCCTTCTCCAAGCGGTTTCGGCGCACCCCTCATACGCTCCGTAGCCCCAAACGGAACTCCACCCAAGGCCCCAGAGGCTGCGTTCGCATACCTTCTCCACGCCATTCCGGCACACACTTCACACGCTTCGTGGCCCCATAGGGAGCTCCACCGAAGGGCCCAACGGCTTGGTTCGCATGCTTTCTCTACACGATTTCGGCACACCCCTCACACGTTCCGTTGCCCAAGAAGCAGCTCCACCCAAGGCCTCGGTGGCTTCGTTCGCATACGTACCTTCTCTACGCCATTTCGGCGCATCCCTCATACGTTTCGTGGCCCCACAAGACCTCCACCGACGGCCCCAGTGGTTGCGTTTGCATGCCTCCTCCACGCGATTTCGGCGCACCCTTCACACGCTTCGCGGCTCCATAAGGAGCTCAACCGAAGGCGCAAGAGGCTGCGTTCGCAAACCATCTCAGCGCCACGTCGGCGCACCCCTCATACGCTCCGTGGCCCCATAGGGACTTTCACCGAAGGCCCCAGCGGCTGCGTTCGCAAACCTTCCACTGAAGGCCCCATTGGCTACGTTCATATACCATCTTCTCCAAGCGATTCCGGCGCACCCCTCACAAGTCTCGTGGCCCCAAAAGGAGCCCCAACAAAATGCCCCACTGGCTGCGTTCGCAAACCTTCTCCGCACAGAATTGCGGCGTACCGCTCGCACGTTTCGTGGCCTCACAGGGAACTCCACCGAAGGCCTCAGTGGCTGTGTTCGCAGACCTTCTCCACACCATTCGGCGTCCCCTTACACGTTTCGTGGCCCCACCACAGGGAGCTCCACCAAAGGCCCCAGTGGCTGCGATCGCATACCTTCTATACACCATTTCGGCGCACCCCTCGCGCGCTTCGTGGCCCCATACGGGGGCTCCACTGAAGGCCACAATGGCAAACATCGTATGCGTAACCGCGCCAATTTCGGCGCACTTGTTACACGCTTCGTGGCCCCACAGGAAGAATCGCATGCGTGGCAACTCCCATGTCAGCTCACCCCTCACACGTTTCGTAACCCCATGGGGAGCTCCACCTGAAGGCCCCAGTGGCAAGATTCGCATGCGTGACCGCGCCAACTTCGGCACACCCCTCACACGTTTAGCGCATCAACCGTAAGAGGTACATGCAGATGTGACCCCTTACGGCCGACCTCTGCGACACTATCAGCATCGTCGCTCCGTCCTTCCCAAGCACGTTTCAGTCATTTTGCTAGTCCCCTCCTTTAGCTTCCACATGTCTTGTGGTACTCGCAGCTGCAGATGGTTGGGTCATTCGCCAAACTTTGTTTTGCTTTTGCGACTTTCTGCTTCCAGGGTCCCACACCGGGCCCCTCCACCGTCACAGAACTGCTCAAGATGAATCCCTGGACCCCTGGAAGGGACCCAGCTCTCCAAGGAAGCACGCTGTGGAAACAAGCCGATATCGGATGTCTGGGTATCGCGAGAAGCCCGCAAATCAAATGTCACTGTCGCCATCGCCCCTGCCCAAGGGGCCCTCTCCTTTGATCCAGCTGCAAGCGCCGTGACTCCCAAAACCATGATCGTGCTGGCCAACTCGCTGAGGCAACCCTGACTGGCAACCTCGCGTCGAACAGCAGACGCCTAAAGGAAAATACATCAGCGCCGAGCCCTTTTGCTCGCTAGATCGCTGACTTGCTGATGGGCCCCTAGAGGGCGTGTGGTACCCCCATTGCCACGCAAGAGCCATTCTGTGTGCACTCGCCGCTGACAGCTGCCCACATCACCGGGCCCTTGAGAAGGAGAGGAATGGGAATAGAAAGAGGGGAAACAGGCGAGTGCGAGTGAGATACGGAGGAAGAGGAGGGTGTGGACAAGGAGCAGGAATCACAGGAGAAGGAGAAGGAGGAACAGGAGGATGAAGATGAGGAGGACGCAGCGAGGTCCTCGACGCCGTGAGCTCAACGTTGAGCCTTGGTAGAGAAGAGCTTGAATCGATAGTGGGGCCTGGAAGAAGGGAGTTCGTATGGACGATGGAACCTGCCCTCCAAAATGCTCCCCATTAGATTCTGGAATGCTGTTTAGGCTCCTGGGCTCCAACATGATTACGTCGAATTCTCGAATGCAAGTTTGTTGACACTGGGAGGCTCCGTGAAACACCCAAGCCAGCCCCATGACCCTGGTCAAGCATCATCTTTCGTGTTGCACATCTTTGAGCCCTGGGAGGCCTTGTGCAGAGGCCGAGCAGGCCTCAAGGGTGCAATGGATCCGAAATCAATGTGCGACAGCTCCGTGACATCTTTCTTGGCGTGGGCGGCGAAGCGGGCGAGATCACGCACGAGAGGGTCCAAGACGCCCCGGAAAGACCCCTCGGACGGCCTAGCGTCCCCCCCAGGTGGCCCCTAGACAGCCCGAGCCCCCTAGATGGCCTCTAAGACATCCCTCAGACGGCCCGAGACTGGCCCAAGACGGCCCCAAGACGCCCCCAGACGGCCCCAACACCATCCAAACGACCGCCCAGAAAGAGAGAGAGAGAGAGAGAGAGTGAGAGCGAGAGAGAGAGAGAGAGAGACAGGGGGACCATGAGGGAGGCAGAGGGGAGGATCATAATGGGGAGGGGAAGGAGGGGGAGGAGAGGGAGGCCTCCTCCTCCTCCTCCTTCTCCTCATCCTCCTCCTCCTCCTCCTCCTCCTCCTCATCCTCCTCCTCCTCCTCCTCCTCCTCCTCCTCCTCCTCCTCCTCCTCTTCTCTCACACTTGTCCCCCTCCCTCCCTTTATCTCCCCCCCCCCTCCCTCCCCATCCTCCCCCCCCTACTCCCAAACACTGGGGCTCGAGAGTTTGCCTTCCGAACCCGCTGTCTCGTGCGAACCGTGCGTCCGCCTCCTGCCCAGCGGCAGGACGCGTGGCGTGCCCGCGGCTTGAGGGGCACGCCTGATCGGTGTGGCAAACATCGAAGCAAGAACGACGACGAAGCTAACGACCTGGCTCCGCAGCCCCCTTGGCGAGGAGGCCGTGCTGCATTCCGAGCGTGCGCCAATTCCAATACGAAGAAGTTCCGAGCACGCGCCAGTTCCAGGATGAGGCGGCAGTATCTGGTATGTCCCACTTGTCCTGATGGTACTAGCTGGATCTGTCGCGATCGCATCAAGGAGAAGGGCTGCACGACGTGCGTCATGTGCTGGTTGGCATGGCACACGACTGCAGGCAATGACAATCGACCTGGCAGCACGGCACCGACACTTAACAAGACCGACAATCAGTTAGAGCTGCTGCTCTTGGTGCTGGCAGACCAGTACGAAAGGCCAAGAAATATTTAGATTAATCCAAGATTGCGCAGTTGGAACTGACTTGCCCGCAATTGGCGGCCCCAACACCCCAGCCGACGCCGACACCTACGCCATGTGAAGCCCTGGAGACGGCAGCCCAGGAGTTACGACAAGTGCAGGCTGCGGGCATCAAGCTCAGGAAGCGCCTCCAACGCAACGCGGAGGAGCAGAAACAGTTCCTGGAGAAGCTGGCAGCCAACGCGGAGGCGCGGGAGCAGGCAGAGCTGGACGTCGATGGATGGGCGGCGGCGACAGGCACCGCGCCAGAGGCCACGAACACAGACAGCAGCCAGAAGAGGACTGCCCATAGTTGGACCTTGAGGAGCTCCAACTGCTCGACGAGGAGGAGAATGGTCAGCACCAGAAAGCCAGACAGGAGGCTCAGCAGGCCGAGCAAACCCTCGAAGCAGCCAAAGAAGCTACCTTGCAAAGGAAGCGGGCGCAGGAGCGGCTCGACGGCATCCGCGCGAAGGCTGCGGCATCGACGCGAGGGGCAGCGGATGGAGAACCTGCTCTGGCAGCTTCGGAGGGCCAGGCCGGGCCCGCTGATCGAGACCGTGGCGAGCTGCCCAGAGGAGGCTACGACTTCACCAGTGAGGAGCATGCCAAGAAGTGCCTGGAGCACACCAAGCGCATCCACGAGAGGAGTCGTACGGCGTGTCCTGCAGGTGCGGCTACCCCTCCCCAAGCCCCGAGACAAGCTGCGGCGGCGAACAAAGGGTAGAGAGGGTGGCAAAGTTCGGCTTCAGGATCCGGAGTGCGAGATCGCACATCATGAAGGAGATAAGCCAGCAGGTGATACGGGGAGGTATGGCGGCATATTCGTGGGGAGTATCACGCAGTGCAATACATCAGTTCGCCAGTTTATCATAGAATCCACGTGTGACATCGTGGGCCTTGTCGAGCACCACCTAAGCAAGGCAAAAGCAGAGAACGAAGCAAAGCGGCTGCAGCAACGTGGCTGGGCGTCCTAGCACACATCTACAGCGGCAACCAGAACCGGGAGATCGACCAGCGGGACCCACGGTAGAGTATGCTGGCTTCGTCGATCGCGACATCAGACTTCAGTTCATGTGCCAACGATACGAGGCGAACATACCCTTGCAGGCGAACTCATGGATATCTCAGAGGCGTACTGGTATCTCAAAGGCGAAGTACGTATCATCATGTTTGTTATTACCTGGACAGTGGTCAAGGGCTGAGGGGAACCAACGCGACCAAGATGAAGCAGATAAGAGTATTTCTACGCCGTGGTCTGATGCCGGAGAGTGGAACGTAACCCCTCAAGAATGCTTGCAATTACCATGGGCAGCCAAGTTGCAGGCGCAACCGGTGGTACCAACAAGTGGCACGGCAACCTGCTCCAGTGGCAATGGAAGGGCCCTCGACTGCCTCATCTGCCCCCCCTCCTTCAGGCATTTCTTAACAGAGGTGGAAGCAGTCACCAAAGTACCTTGGCGACCGCATGTTGGCCTCCACATCAGAATCAGACGGCAACTACTCGCGCTGCAAGCACTAGGGCCTGGAGGGAGCAGCTCGAAACCAAGCACCACATCAAGAGACCCAGACTGACAAGGGCCTCAAACGCAAGCAGCGTGACCGCGAGAAATATGATGAGAAGCTGGTGAGCACCATCAGCGGCCAGGTGCAACATGAGGGAGGTGAAGACCAGGACGTCACGGATGACAAGCAAGCACGGCGGGCAGAAACAGCTGCCGTGGAGAAGCTGGAGCCCACGTGCACCAAGAAGGTGCTCAGACAAGTGGAGGATGAGACGTGGCGCGAGCTACGACGGCAAGTCGAAGCTTGCGAACTGCCTGAACCAGATCAGGCAACGAGAAGCAACATGGCGGCATACCGCATCACGGAAGCTAACTCCAAGAAGCTAGGATACCAGCACATGAAGTGTGCGCAGGCGGCGGACGTGGTACGGGGAAAGGCACCAAGCTCGTACGAGGATTTCCTGATCGTGATTGGTATCGAAAGCTTCTCTGGAAGACTGGCCAGCTGGAGTGCAAAGTGGAACAGGAACGCCATGACAGGTGGACGGTGCTGGGAGCTCTACTGAGACACCTTGGGTGTGCAGGCAGCGAAGCTAGCCGAGCGGACCTCAAGGAGCTTATCGAGGACCACACCACCACAATTGAAAGCATGCCGTACCCGCCGATGCCTGCGACGTCCGTCCACCTGCTTCGGACGGATGAGAAGGCTGATGGTTGGGCCTGGGATGTTCTGCACAAAACGAAGCTGGAGATAGCGCATGTTCTCTGGGAGGAGGCGCTGTAGCTGGTTTGTGAGGGCGTTGCAGCAGGCGAAGGTCAGCATTCACACATGGGCAAAGAAAGCGTTGGACGGCAACACGATTCAGGCGCACCAATACCTCAAACGGCCAACATCATTATCGTTACCTGAATCACGCCTGGACCAACCTGGAAGAACCGTACTACCAGCCCCACAGCAAGCGGTAGAAGCGCGATCACAACAATGGACGGCGCGATGGACCAAACTAGACGAGTCGGGAAAATTGAAGGATAACTCACTACGCCGACAAACCCAGCACGAGTTTGTAAACCGTGAGCCCGTCACCCTCGAGCAGCAGGATGGCGCTCTGAGGAGCACCCAAGCTGCGTCGGGACAGGGCTCAGGCATGGGGAAGGCACAACATCTTCAAGCACTAGCACCAAGAGGACGACACGAACTCGTGGATCTGCTCAATCAGTCGGAGCAGACACTCGCGCGGCCGCATCGATGGATGCATGTTTGGTATGAGCTACTGCGCAAGGGCGACAACGTCACGGCAGTGGATTAATACGATTGCCAATTCGGCTGTGGGGGCGCATGCGGCGAAGAGAGATCGCGCACTGGAGCAACACCAGAGCGGTCTTTTGGGACACAGCGGTGGCAGTCGTCGGCTCTGCAGGCAGAGCTTTTCAGCATGGCGGTGGACGAAAGCAGAGCAAGAGATGAGACCAAGGCATGGGGCTCCGTATATCTGGATGCCAAGAAAACTCTATGAGTGTATCAATCTCAAGCTGTTGGTTTCGCGTGCTCGGGATCTTGATTCTCCAGCGGTGGAAGTGTGCCTCCACTGTGCGACGTACCTGGCGCCAAGAGTAGTGCGAGCTGCCGGGGCTTATGCTCCAGCCATCACACCAGAGAGCAGCATAGTACCAGGGTGCAACAATGCGAAACATACGGCAAGAGCGCTCCTCTACACGTTGTTGTAGAGGGCTCACAGCAAAGTTCTGCTGCACTGCATTGCCAATACGTGGACGGCGTGACCGCAAGGCCGGATGGCAACTACACCAAAGTCAAGAACGACCTGGTCAATGCGACGGTAGAAATCGTGAAGAGGCTATATGGATAGCCACCTGGAGATGTCAGCAACGTCGATAACCATGGCCTCTCACCCGAGCCTAGAGCATAAGAAGCAACGGTCACCAAGGCCCTGAAGCAGCCGGGGGTCAACATCGGTACGGCCACCTTCGCCAAGGACCTGGGCATAGACATTGTCAGCGGAAGGAGGAGAAGAAGAACGGCCATCAAGCGAAAGGCAGCCGTCAGAAAAAGAGTGATCAGCGCCAACGTTTAGGTCGGGTATGTCCCCCTACATGCGGTTTATTGTAAGAAGAATGAAAGATACCGAAATAATACTCAAAACGAGCCAAAAATAATCGAACAATCATCCCCAGGCTATTTTTGAACATTCTTCCCAACCATCCTGTGGTGTTGGGTCCTCGTTTTGCAGAGACAGCGCCCCGCGTTCACTCCTTCCTTCCTTCCTTCCTCCCGCTGCACCCTCCCTCCCTCCTCCCCCCTCCCACTATCACGGCATACCCCTCACACGTTTCGTGGCCCCATAGGGAGCTCCACCGAAGGCCCCAGTGGCTGCGTCCGCATGGCGGCGCCGCACCCATTTCGGCACACCCCTCACACGTTTCGTGGCCCCATAGGGAGCTCCACCGAAGGCCCCAGTGGCTGCGTTGCATGGCGGCGCCGCACCATTTCGGCACACCCCTCACACGTTTCGTGGCCCCATAGGGAGCTCCACCGAAGGCCCCAGTGGCTGCGTTCGCATGGCGGCGCCGCACCCATTTCGGCACACCCCTCACACGTTCGTGGCCCCATAGGGAGCTCCACCGAAGGCCCCAGTGGCTGCGTTCGCATGGCGGCGCCGCACCCATTTCGGCACACCCCTCACACGTTTCGTGGCCCCATAGGGAGCTCCACCGAAGGCCCCAGTGGCTGCGTTCGCATGGCGGCGCCGCACCAATTTCGGCACACCCCTCACACGTTTCGTGGCCCCATAGGGAGCTCCACCGAAGGCCCCAGTGGCTGCGTTCGCATGGCGGCGCCGCACCCATTTCGGCACACCCCTCACACGTTTCGTGGCCCCATAGGGAGCTCCACCGAAGGCCCCAGTGGCTGCGTTCGCATGGCGGCCCCGCACCCATTTCGGCACACCCCTCACACGTTCGTGGCCCCATAGGGAGCTCCACCGAAGGCCCCAGTGGCTGCGTTCGCATGGCGGCGCCGCACCCATTTCGGCACACCCCTCACACGCTTCGTGGCCCCATAGGGAGCTCCACCGAAGGCCCCAGTGGCTGCGTTCGCATGGCGGCGCCGCACCCATTTCGGCACACCCCTCACACGCTTCGTGGCCCCATAGGGAGCTCCACCGAAGGCCCCAGTGGCTGCGTTCGCATGGCGGCGCCGCACCCATTTCGGCACACCCCGCACACGCTTCGTGGCGAGCTCCACCGAAGGCCCCAGTGGCTGCGTTCGCATGGCGGCGCCGCACCCATTTCGGCACACCCCTCACACGTTTCGTGGCCCAAGGCCCCAGTGCTACCGCCCTCATGCGTCCCGTACGCCCAGGACAACGTTTCGTGGCACGCCTTTCGTGGCCCCATAAGGAGCCCCACCGAAAGCGGCACCCACAAAGCGTTATTCACAATTGCACATGGTTGGGACCTTCGCCAGGATAATTTTTAATACCTCCTGTGGACGGACACGCCCGACTTCAGCCAACGCACTCAAAGGAGCAAGCTGGCGAAGGCGCAGGCCGGCGCAACTCAGCGCCACCCCCGTGAGGGCCAGAAGTCCAACTACGACGGCCCTGCCGTGGGCGCGCCGCCAGCGGACGTCAAGAGAGCTCGAGCGGAAGCTGCAGACAGGCTTGGATACACAACGGGAGGGCGAGATACGTCAATGGTCATGCTGTCCCACTTCCTCGAGAGGGATCTCAAGGCAGCAGGGCCAACCCGACAGGTTGCCGAGTGGATCAGGCTGTGGAAGGCGCATGCCACGTACCACAGCAAGCTACGAGCTGGATGGCATGCAGCGATGCGTCGCCTACGAGCTGCAAGGCCTAGAGGCCAATGGAACGTGGTCACGGGCCCCATGGCAGCATTGATCCAGGGGTTGTCGGAGCTGGGTTGTGACTCCAGAGGTGCTACATGGACATGGCGCATGCAAATTCTGGGAAACCAGGTTCAATCGTCGCCTCTCTGTTGCCCAGTCAGAATGCAGACAGCCATTCAAATCTGGGAGCTCCAGTTCACATGTCGCCTTAGTTTTGCGCAGTCAGAGCGCAGGCAGCTTCACAAATCCTGGGGGTCCAGGTTCAGATGTCGCCAATGTTCTGCTGGGACCGAGGGCTACCACCACCAGCAGTGGAGCGAGCCAGGGTACAGGCAAAACAGCGAGGTGGACCCCATGGAGAAGCTGGAGTCGGACCTCATTGACGATCCATCTGCCTTGTCATCGGTTGCGCCATCGACGCTGCGGCCCTGGCCCTTCCCTGAGAAGGCAGAGACGGCGTCGCAGACGAAACCCGCTCCTGGGCCGGCGCCCCAAAGAGAGTGGGACCCTGCGGGCCGGCTACCTTACCTACGAGCAGCTCTTGGTCAGGAGGTTGGGGGCAACCCTCGGTAATTGCCCCACAAACGACAAACCGAGAGCGGAGAAGCACAGCAACGAGGGCATCTCGACCTCGACGACAGCGACGTGGGCTTCATGGAGGATCTAGAGTACGACAGCAACGATGGCCCCTTAACCTGGACGTCGTTTTCGCTGTCGACTCTACCGCCCAGAAGGCAGAGACGGCGACGAAACCCGCTCCTGGGCAGGCGCCCCCCAAGAGTGTGGGACCCTGCGGTGCTGAATCGCTGGAGGTTGATGGGCCGAATATTGTTTGCCTACGACGAGATCTGGGTCAGGGGGTCAGGAGGGTTGGGGCAGCCCTTCGTAATTGCCCCACACGTACGTGCTAAAAGCTACGTACGACTGGCGATCTGTAGCCTAGCCACCCAACACAGAACGCCGACTTGTTGGACGACTATGCAGGGCAGTGTGACGATCAGGCTTTAAGGGTGCAGACGTGAGGCCCCCATACCCAGCGTCGAGAAGAGGTGGCCAGAGGGTACGCCTGCTTGTGGAGAACATCGGGATCAAGAGCATCCTGAACGAAGTGCTGACCATGAAGGTCTTGCGGACCGAGAAGCGCAGCATGAGGGAGAGGACGGCACCAGCGACATGGTGGCGGTGATCGTGGCGGACGTCTTGCAGGAGCTACGGCAGCAAGCTGGAAAGGACCATGTTGGAGGCGAGTGGATTTCGAGACCAGACCCAATATCAGCTGCCAAGACAGTGCAAAGGATGAGGCGCATGGACTTACATCGAGAAGCTGGAGCGCTGGAGGCGGTGGTGTGCAACACCATGTGGACGGGCTCTGCAAAAGGTGCACCTCAGGCTGACCTGAGACTATGGGCCACAGCGTCTGGGAGTGCAAACCCACGCCAGTTTCCGACCACCCGTGGATCAGACAGAGCGAGAGACTGCGCGTTGAAGCGGAGCAAGACATCGCCAAGGGAGTGAACCTTGAGTTGTGGGAGCGTGGCATGCTTCCGAATACGTGCAACGAAGTGCCACCGCCCCCGGCTTGGGGCGACCAGCAGTGGCCACATTACCTGGACTGACCTGCTGCCAGACTGCACCATCCCGTACCACCAGCGCATCATCAGCAAGCCGGCCTTCCTGGACGGCTCGGCGTCGAGCACGGACGCGCGGATAGCGGGTGCACGCTGGGGAATGTACTTCGCCCAGTCGGTGCAACAGGTCGAGGAAAATGATCCCGAGGTTTTCCGTCCTGGTGCGTGTGGGGATATCGATCGAGTGCATACGATGCCATATCCTGAGCTTACGGCCCTTTGGTGGGCCTTGCAAATCTCACAAGGCCCGGTCGAGGTCTACATGGACGGCCAGGTTGTGTACGACCGTCGGCACGACGTCTCCGATGTGGCCTCTGCTGGACATCTAGAGGGCTGGTGGGCTCGAACCAGAAATGAAGCGGTAGGCAGACGAGTGATGATAAGCAAGTGTGATTCCCAATTTGACTGCACATCTTTGTTGGCAGGCATTCCAGCTCTTCAAGTTTCGAGGGGCAAGGATCCAGCAAGCAAGTATGCTCAGACAGGTGCTGAGCGAATGCGCAGCCCATATATCCTGAACTGCGTGTCTTAGCAGAGGCTGAGTTCAAGGCCTGGTTAGAACAGCGCAGGATAGCCAGTGTTAATTCGTCCGTTGCACAAGAAGAGGGAAGCCAGCACAATTTCGCATGAAGGGTGCAGGGTGCCAGTAAGCCATGGCGTGAGAGGAAGCTACTCGAGCACTCTTCTGGGCACAGCTTAACCAAGGTAAGGGGTTCCTGGGTCTGTTTGTACTGCCAAAGCGGTCCTGGCAAGTCTTCTGTTTTGGACTGGCTCCGCCAGGAAATGTGCCTGGGGGCCCAATTCCACCGAGTCGAGTCCTAAGGGAAACCCGTTCCACTGCCCCCCCTGTTTGAAGTCTAGGGGATTGAAGTCTAGGGGAAGGTAATGCACGAGACGTATAGTCAGATTGTTTGTTGGAGGAGCGGGTGTCTAGGCTCTACCCCCACTGGGGGTGGCCGGCTGGGTGCGGGCATGGTCGCTGCATGTAAGCAACACCCCACTCAAGCAGGCAAATAAGCCCTGACCGCAATTCAGAAGTGGGAGGACCCGTCCAGGAATTAGAAGGCCGAATGGCCTGATGGGAAACTCAGCCAACCGAGGCTCACGAGGCTGGCGCCGACCCGCCCCGGGGGGTAATATTCGGTTTCGTTTTCTTCTCCTCTTTGCATAGCGATGAGATGTGTAAGCTGGTTCGTTAACCGTCTCCCTACTCGTCTCCTCTCCCACCTGCTCCTGTGCCTCTTCCTATTCTTCCTCATGCTGGAGAGGATGCCTCGCACAGCCTCCACCCTTGGTGACTATGGTCACCATCCGAAGTCCACGTAATGCTCGCTGTCGGGATAACGCCGTCTGGGCTAGCAGTTCCGGAATACTCCACTCCATTGACCACGAGCTTATCATACCCATGCTCAGTGCGGAAATGCTCGACTCGGATGGGCACCACAGACGCTAAATTGATGCCCAACACGCACTTCTGCATGTGCCCGTACTTCCCTGGGAAATTGGGGCTTGCCACGCAAGTGCCATTCTGTGTGCACTCGCCGCTGACAGCTGCCCACATCACTGGGGCCTTGAGAAGGAGAGAAATGGGAATAGAAGGAGGGGAAACAGGCGAGTGCGAGTGAGATACGGAGGAGAAGGAGGAGGATGAAGAGGAGGGGGAGGATATCGACAAGGAGCAGGAAACACAGGAGAAGGATCATGAGGAGCAGGAGGATGAAGAGGAAGACCACGCAGCGAGGACCTCGACGGCGTGAGCTCGACCCTGAGCCCTGGTAAAAAAAAGGTTGAAACTATAGCGGGGCCTCGAATGGACGTTTTAACCTGCCCCCCACGATGCTCCCCATTAGAATATGGAATTATGTCTGGGCTCCTGGGTTCCAAAAAAAAGACGTCTGGTTCTCATGCGTACTTGTTAATCATGGGAGGCTCCGTGAAACACCCAAGCCAACCCCACGACCCCGGTTAAGCATCACTTTTCACGTTACGCATTGTTTTTAGCCCCGGGAGGCCGTGCGCAGCGCCTAAACTGGCCCCAAAACCCAACGGCTCCGAAATCAATGTGCGAAAGTTCCGCGACATCTTTGTTGGCGTGAACAGTGAAACGCGTGAGAGAAAGAGAGAGAGAGAGAGAGAAACAAAGAGAGAGAGAGAGAACACACACAATTAGCCTGGCGAAGGACCCAACCATGTGTAGTTGTGAATACCGCAAGTATGAATATCATCTTCGCCGGCGCTCCCTATGGGGCCACGAACCGTGCGAGGGGCGTGCCGACATGCGTGGCGGGGCACACGGCGCGAGCGAAGACGATAGATCTGTGTGCGAGAGAATCAGAGCGAGTGAGTCTGATTGTGGATGAGTCTGCGCACGCGTGAATCTACGTGCAATAATGTCGACGCCCATGTCGGCACGCCTCTCACGAGGATCGCGCCCGCTTCCTTCCCGTTCTTCTTCTCCCTTTTTGCCCGTGCGCGCCCACGTCCAAGGCTGCGGGCGCGGCGCCGCACGGAGTCCCCGCGACGCGCGCTGGTCACCCCGAAGGGGTCCTGGCGACGCGCGCGGGTCGTCCGCTGCGCGGAGCAGACAGAGCGAGCAGGCTGGCTCCCGCCTGGGATGCGCGGCCCGAAAGCGTCCCCCATACGTCGAATACGACAAAACACATCCGAAAATCGAAAGTCGTCGCCATGCGAACTCCGCCGCTGGGCCGCCATACGAGTTCCGCCACGGAGACCTTAGGTGGAGTTCCCCGTGGGGACACGAAGCGCTGCATTGGGTGGAAGATGGCGCATGCGGGCGGTCCCACTGGGGCCTTCGGTGGAGCCCTCTCATGGGGCCACGAAGCGCTGTACTGGGTGGTGGATGACGCATGCGGGCGGTCCCGCTGGGGCCTTCGGTGGAGCCTTCTACGGGGCAACGAAACGTTGCACTGGGTGGTGGGTTACGCACGCGGGCGGTCCCAGTGGAGCCTTCGGTGGAGCTCCCTATGGGGCCACGAAGTGCTGTGCTGGGTGGTGGATGACGCTTTCCAGCGGCCGCGGGCGCGCGGAGATGGCGGCCGCGGCGGCGGCGGCCGGGCGGGCTCTGCGGGTGGCCAACAGCTGCGGATGAAGGCCGCCAGCCGGCAGCGCACGCGAGTCGAGACGCGCCAAGATTTGCTGGTATCCAGGAATCATCAGGACGGCTTGAAATTTGTGTGTGTTTTTTGTCTCCGGGAGCCCTCGGTGGCCGTCAGGACCGTCAAACAAAAATCTGGGATGCAAAACCGTCCCTGGGCAGGGGGTGGGAATTTCCAGGGACCCCGTGTTGGAAAAATCAGGACATCGCGTGTCTGGGAACGTCGCCCGCACCCCGAGGTAAGGCCTCAGTGGCCGGCCGGCTTTGCCGCAGCTGTTGGCTGCACCCTGCACGTGGTGTCGTAGACACGTCACGGCCCTGTTCACTCGGGTCCTGTCTCGGCGTTCTGGTGTGCGCAGACCCTTGGCTTGATCTTTCAGGCGAGACCGGTACCATGGCATTCGTTCCGAGTCGAGGCGGGGTCCTCACCAGAAGGCCGCCCTCGGATGGCTTCCGTCCAGACCACGGTGTCCCCCACGGCAATTCGTCCGCATTGGTTTCTGGGAGGCCAAGGGGGACCTGTTGGTGGTTGGCGACGGGGTGCCAGGGAGGAGGGATAGGGGAAAGGGCAAGGTGTCGGGAGAGAGGGGACAAGGCGAGGTGTTATGGTGAGAAGAATGAGAGGGTGGGAAAGGAGAGGGGGATTAATGATACCGGTGATGGAAACGACAACGATAGGCGATGGTGATAGTGATGGTGATGGTGATGGCGATGGTGATGGTGCTGGCGATGGTAATGGTGATGATGATGCTGCTGCTGATGATGATGATGACGATGGTGGTGGTGGTGATGATGATGATGATGATGTTGATGATGATGATGATGATGATCATGATGATGATGTGATGATGGTGATGGTGATGGTGATGGTGATGGTGACGAGGAGGAGGGGGAGGAGAAGGACGGGAATTAACAGGAGGAAGGACAGGATACGGGGATGGGACAAGGGGAGAAGGGGGAGGCTGGGGGAAGGGCGAGGAACACAATGGGCGGCATGCGGTGGCAAGGCGGAGGTGGAGGGTATGGAAGGCAGGGGGGGAGGAACGGGCGGTGGAGGGGAAGGGGGGAGGCAAGGCAGGTGTTCGCCAGTGGAAAACGCGTGGTTTGCAACGTTCCTACTCCTTCCTCCCTCCCCCCTCCTTCCTCGTTTCCCTCGTCCCGTGTTCGTCTTTCTGGGCTCTCCTCCCTTCCTCCCCGTCCCTCGTCGTCCCCCGTCCTGGCAGGCTATTGCGACTGGTTGTGCCGTTGACCCAGGGAGGCAGAAATCACCACCAGTTCGGCCGCGAAACCAGCAGCGCAAGCGCCTTGCCAGACCAACTCTGTCCCCAGGTGAATGTAGTCGCCCGTCGCAGTTGTCTCTCCTTGCCCACTCCCCCTAAGTCGTGTGCGCTTGTTGCCAGCATGTGACAGACATTGTATAGTCCGTTTCTGTACGTAGCCGTTCCGGCTTTAGCCAGCATGTTCATTACAGGTGCTCTCGAGTGAGGGAGTCTGAAACATATCATCGTATCGGTCGCACGATGTCTCGCGATGCTGACAGTGGTAAGCGGAGCGTGGTTAGTGAAGATCCTTGGTGTTAGATCTCTCCCGCTCCAGGGCACCCAGCAGGACGGCTGGCACGTACAGGGAACCCGGCTCCCGAACCACCTGGGGAAGATCAGATTCAGGTACGTCAGATCCGTGGTTTCACGGCTTTGACCCTTGGCAATCAGGTCATGGAGCGTTCGTGGAGACCGGTCCAGAAGGCGACAAGCCTCCAGACCCACCCGCGGAAGCTCCAGCGAGCTCCGGGGCTGCAGGGTCGGGCGGCAACCATCCAGACGCGGGCCAGCACGACGACAAGCCCGACGACAAGCCCGACGCCCAGGACTGGTGGAGTTCCGGGGCATGGGGCTGGACAGCCAAACTTGTGTGGGAGTGGTCGCCTGGTTGGTGGCAGAGCTCCAAGACCGAAGAGGACGTGGCCTCCTGGAAATCCGAGGACTGGAAGAAGGTCGAATGGAAGGACAACGCCTCCGACCTCAGTAGGCTCAAGGACGAGCCAGGACGTGATGAAGACGGCCGATATCGAGATGGCCGAGGTGGTAGCAGCTCGTGGTGGTCCAGGTCGTGGAACGCAAGTTCTTGGGAAGAGGAGAAGTCCAGGGACTACTCAGCCCCGCCGACCTGGCCCGGCATGCAGCACTTAGACATATACATTCACAACCTGCGGGCATGGACGCGCAGGACGGCATTGAAGACCAGTCTGCAAGCTGATCGAGTGCTTGAGACATTCCCTCTCGAGCTCCAGGCCAAATTTAAGACCATCAGATTATCCCTCGCCACGGAGTCCGGACTCGACAAGTTAGTGGATCACTTGACTTTGCTGTCAGGAGAGAGACCCGGCGACAAGGATCGGCAGATGCAAAACGAAGCACTATTCGACTATGTTATTAAGAAGGGCGAAAGCCTGACAGATTACGTGATAAGACGCGACGGACAAATGCTGCAGGCAGAAAGTGCGGGTCTCACTCTCACAGACTCCATCAAGGCTCGCTATTACGAAGAAGGAGCAATGCTTTCTCATCAAAATCGAATCAATCTTGCAACACTGGCTTCTGGAAATAAGGATTTCTTATCTATAAAAGCTGCTCTTCTCAATCTGGACGTTTCGAGCGGTCAGGCTGTGCTTCCGACAGCGGCCACCTCGTCCAGGCCTCCAGGAAGGACATTTATGCAGGAACAAGAGGAAGAGACGACGTTCGCGGCGGAGGCCGACACCGTCGTGGATCTCTTCGAGACCGAGTTTAGTGAGTCCGAGGCGGACGGCTTTCTGATAGCGTTAGATCAGCAGGACCTCACAGAGGATGAAGCCTATCACGTCTTTGCCCAACTCGTGGAGACCAGGCGTAAGCGCACCTGGAAAGAATCAAAGGACATGAAGAATGCTCGTCGCATAGATCGAAACTTCTTCGACAGACGCCGTGGCAAGAAAATTGGCAAAGGTGAACTAAAGAAAAGATCCAGGTGCACGAACTGCGGGCAGAAGGGCCATTGAAAAGAAGACTGCCGCAACGCTTACAGGTCAAAGGAGGACAGACTCAAGGAGGAGAGCAAGCCGCAGTCGAAGCCGGACAAAACCAACAGTTTCTACTTCAACGTGCGCGGTTTCGACGGCCCCACCTGCCTCGCAGTGACCGAGGACGAGTGCCAGACGTGCGTCGATTATCTGGTCGGCGGCGCGTGGCTGCCCGACGACGCCAAGCAGCTCGAGCTCGTCCTGGCCGAGGTCTCGCGGGAGCTGACCTTGGACAACCTGATGGACTGCGCTCTCGTGGACACTGCTGCGGGATCAGCTTTGGTGGGAGAGCCGAATCTCGAGAAGCTCAGGAAGGTGCTGAACCACATCGGCTACGAAGTTCACGTGTCCTACGACGTGGCTGATCTTCCTCCGGCCTGCGGAGTTGGAGGCAAAGTCAAGCCGGTGGGGCGAGCTTCGGTGCCTGTCACGATGTGCGGATGTGGGGTGGTGGAATTTTGTATATTACCACACGCATGCCCACCCCTCTTGCCCGCCAAGTGTTTAGAGTTTCTCAAGGCCAAGGTAGACATGAGCATGGACACGATGTCGGTCGGGGCCGGCGATGGTCGTCGAGAACTGGAGCTGCATCGCCTGCCGTCAGGGCATCGTGCAGTATCTCTGGTGGGCTGCCCGCCCGAGGATCTCAAGCTCAGTGACGACCTCGCCAAGCGCTTCCCGCCCTTCGTCATGCAGGACCGTAGGGAGGGACAGGGCGCTGTTTTCGCTAGTCAGATCTCCTCGCTCCCTCCGTCTCTCTCTCTATGTCTCGACAGCGGGTCCACGATTCGAGGGCCCTAGATGGGACATCGCCGTCACTACCTTACTCTAGGCTCGAGCCGGGCTGGCGACTCAGAGAGCCAGCCCTCAAGTCTACTCAGTCAGTCAGATAACTCTCAGAGTCAGGCAATCGATGCCGGCACGGGCGATCAGGAAGGCGAACTCGACGGTGCATCCGCTACGTCGAGGACCTCGCTCACTGTCGGCTCTGCGGCGCCGGACGAGCAAGGTGGTGAACGGCCTCTCTCAGGTCGAGGAGGAGGGCAGCTCGGATCTCGAGATGGCCGAGAACTGGGAGGAGATGCCAGACCCGTGGCGCGACACGGAGCTCCAGCATCTGGTGTACGACGAGATGCTCGATCCTGTGGACAAGGAGATGTTCTTCGAGGGCCGCTACATCATCGAGAAGGCTGCCATGGCCTGGCGCCGCGTCTCTCTCAAGACGATCGTGTTCCTCAACGTGTGCGCCAGCTCGCGGATCATGACCGCGCTGTCGCCGGTGGTGGACCCGAACCAGTTCGAAGACGAGGACCCCAACGTGACTCCGGACACGTGCGAGCATCCAGTACACCGCCGCCGCACCGGCCAGAATGGAGTCGCTCACTACTGCCATTGCGAGGTGTGCAAAACCCGTCTCTGGATCCGCCGCAAGACCCCTCAGGAGATCTTCGAAGCAGCTCAGGCTCGTGGCCGTCGGGACAAGGAGCGCAAGGACCGCGAGGCCATCAGGATGCAGGCCGAGATACGTGCCCAGAGAGCCAAGCTGGAGGTCAAGATGGAGCCGGAGCCACAGCCGCGCGACCCAGCCTACCGCACCCGCCCGATGCCGATCTCGAGGACTCTCGGGGCAGTCCCCAAGGTCAAGGCCCCCAAGGCTCAGGCAGGGGACCTGGAGGTGATCGACGAGGCCCCTCCGTGCACTTCCTACTCGACGGCCCGCGCGACGGCGGTGAAGTCACCTCCAGCAAATCCTCACTTGGTCGGGTACAAGTCACCACCGAAGACTCCGTCGAGCGGGACGTTGGTCAGGATGCTCGAACCGCCTCCCTCGGCCAGGATCACGCACGCGGACGTCAGCAACATGATGGACAGCATCAGGAACGCACTTGCTCAGGAGCGCCAGGGAGTGCAGGAGATCCGCGAGGCGATCATCGAGGAGGTGCGCACCGAGAATGTGAGGGCCATGGAGGAGGCAATGCGCAAGGTACTCAGCGAAGTGAGGCGCTGAGTCCTACGATGTTCACGCTAGCCTCCCTCCGACACGAGGCTAGAGATCGGATCTTATCGGACGTTCAGGATCGTTTTGGCACGGCCAGAGATCAGAAGATTTCAATGCGATCTGTCTCTACGATCGTGAATAGATTCAAGGGGGCTCCCGTTCCTTACGATCGAGAACGACATTTCGGAGTCTGGGACACTTCAGATGGTAGCTCGATCGATTTTGATCATCTTTCAGAAACGGCGGGCTGGACGAAGCGCCAGCTCGAGTCGGGCGAGCTGGCATCGTTTCTGGTGCGCCTCGCGATCGCAGGTGCCAGCTCTCCTAGCACCCGGCTGGGACTACCGGCCGACGTCGCCAGGGTGCAGATCGGGATCAGCATCGACGATGACAAACCGTCTCATCATCAAGTCATCCTCGATCGTCTATGGAGTGGACTGTCCGTCCGGGCGTAAGCTCGGCCCTCTCGGGAGCTCAGCGTCGACAGCTACGAGTTGAAGTTTGGGAGGCGGCCTCAGATGAGCTTGGCGAACTACCCCTAGCTTTCGGGACAGCAGTCGAGCAAGAGAAGTTCACAGGGGCCTTAGAGGATCCTAGTCGGTCTCCCCCTCGGATTCCGTCGTCTTGGGCCTTAGTCTCCTCCCCAGTCCATTTCGATCGTCCTCTCAGCACTCCCATGGCTCAGGTTCCTCGAAAAGTTAGGGATGCTTTGCTTAAGACGTTCGAGGGCACCAGCATTCGGGCCACTCACAGGAAGGTTCGCAAGCAACTCATCGAGAGATGCAAGCAGAAGAGATGCACTCAGGTCCTTGAGGTTTTCTCTCCCCCTCGGGTCTCCCAGGAGCTCAGCCGGAGAGGGTTTCCGGTGTCTCAGGCCATGGACCTGAAGACGGGCTTTGATTTTCGCAAGGCCCAGGATCGTCGCAAGCTGTGGGAAACGCTGGAGTCAGATCGCCCTGAGATTGTTTTGATGACCCCCCCTGCACTGCGTTCAGTGTCGCCCGAGTAAGCAACTGGCACCGAATGAGTCCAGATAAGCTCACGCAGACTGAGAGGGAGGGTCTTCTGTTCTTAGGATTGTGCGCTCAGGTTGCCGAATATCAAATATCGAAGGCCAGGCTCTTCTGGCTAGAACAGCCTTTCACGGCGTCGTCTTGGGAGCTGAGAAACCAGGAGTCAGCTCGGCGAGGTGTGATCAGTGCGAATATGGCTTGTCAGTCTCTCATCAGGGTCTCTCTCGCAAGCCCACCTCTTTTCTCTCCAACTCTCAGCATGTTCTCGACAAGACACATCGCCGCTGACAGCTGCCCACATCACCAGGGCCTTGAGAAGGAGAGGAATGGGAATAGAAGGAGGGGAAACAGGCGAGTGCGAGTGAGATACGGAGGAAGAGGAGGGTGTGGACAAGGAGCAGGAAACACGGGAGAAGGAGAAGGAGGAACAGGAGGATGAAGATGAGGATGACGCAGCGAGGTCCTCGACGCCGTGAGCTCAACGTTGAGCCTTGGTAGAGAAGAGCTTGAATCGATAGTGGGGCCTGGAAGAAGGGAGCTCGTATGGAAGATGGAACCTGCCCTCCAAAATGCTCCCCATTAGATTCTGGAGTACTGTTTAGGCTCCTGGGCTCCAACGTGATTATGTCTAATTCTCGAATGCAAGTTTGTTGACACTGGGAGGCTCCGTGAAACACCCAAGCCAGCCCCATGACCCTGGTCAAGCATCATCTTTCGTGTTGCACATCTTTGAGCCCTGGGAGGCCTTGTGCAGAGGCCGAGCAGGCCTCAAAGGTGCAATGGCTCCGAAATCAATGTGCGACAGCTCCGTGACATCTTTCTTGGCGTGGGCGGTGAAGCGGGTGAAATCACACACGAGAGGGTCCAAGACGCCCCGAAAAGACCCCCGGACGGCCGAGCCTCCCCCCCAGGTGGCCCTTAGACAGCCCGAGCCCCCTAGATGGCCTCTAAGACAGCCCTCAGACGGCCCGAGACTGGCCCAAGACGGCCTCAAGACGCCCCTAGACGGCCCCAACACCATCCAAACGACCGCCCAGAGTGAGAGAGAGAGAGAGAGTGAGAGCGAGAGAGAGAGAGACAGGGGGACCATGAGGGAGGCAGAGGGGAGGATAATCATACTGGAGAGGGGAAGGAGGGGGAGGAGAGGGAGGCGCCGACACGAGGGAGCAGCCAATGTCGAAGTGGTCGCAGCAGAACTGCATCGGTTGCCGCAGAACTTCTGCTGCAGTCACTCGCTCGCGAGCCAGCTCCAGCGCAGCGTCGACTGGCTCGACTGGGGCCTGGCGGCTGCGGTATGCAGGTCCTCCTCCTCCTCCTCCTCCTCCTCCTCCCTCCTCCTCCTCCTCCTCCTCCTCCTCCTCCTCCTCCTCATGCTTTTGGAACATAACAGCCGCAACTCGTAGTGTGGAAGGCGATTTGCATACCACGTCTGGCTTGACGTCAACACTGGGCTCCAATGAACATGCACGTACGCATTCGAACACCATCGGTTGCATCCTACTGTATTTGGGGTTGCTATCAGCGCTTAAGTTGGCAGTGTCCGGAACAATGTTTGCCGGTGGATCTGCGCATGCGGGTGAGACTGGCATACTTTAGTTCGATGTGCCTTCAGGCAGTTGTTGTGATCAGGGCTTGCCATTGTTGCTTAACCTTTTCGGTACACACCAGTGTTTAAAACATCACCTGCTGATTGCCAGCTCCAAACGATTGCAGGCCCGCGACTCCCTCCTTCTTTCTCCGCCCGGCGATCCTCCCTCCACAAGCTGATCCTCCACGAGTGAAGGTCTCCCAGAGGTCCCTTGATTTTCCGAAAGCCTCCAAGGGAAGAATAGGCTGTCGACGGACCCCCTCCTCCTCCTCCTCCTCCTCCTCTTCTTCTTCTTCCTCTTCTTCTTCCTCTTCTTCTTCTCCTTCTTCTCCTCCTTCTTCTCCTCCTCCTTCTTCTCCTTATTATTCTCTTCTTCTTCTTCTCCTCCTCCTCCTCCTCCTCCTCCTCCTCCTCCTCCTCCTCCTCCTGCTCCTCCTGCTCCTCCACCTCCTCCTTCTCCTCCTCCTCCTCCTCATCCTCCTCCGCCTCCTTCCCCGCCTCCTCCCCCGCCTCCTCCCCCTCCTCGACAATTACTCAATATGAATACTACTCTCCCTCTTCCCCTGATAACGTCTTGTGAATATTCGCCCCCCCGTGTGCTGTTTTTTTACACGCAGGTTTCCCCGGAGTTGGGTTTTCGCCTGCATTTTGTTCCAAAGCGCTGCTCTCGCTGAGGCGCAGGCCTCATTTTCGGGCCCCGCTCGTTACGAATCGTGCTCCCGCTGCAGCGCTGGCATCATTTCCGCCGGCGCCCGGGCTGCACGCCCGAGCCGGCGCCCAGGCCGGCGCTCGGGCCGGGCCCGGAGCCAGTTCCGGCCGGCGCCGGAAAATCGAGTTCCGAGGCGGCGCCGAAAAAAGGCCATTCTAATATAATTTTTTCTTTTGAAAATGCTGAATTTCTGCTTCCGGCGCCCAGGGAGGCCTCCCGGGCCGATTCCGACGCCCAGGCCGGCGCCCGAGCCGGCGCCCGGGCCGGACGCCCGAGCCGGCGCGTCCGGAGCCGGTTCCGGCCGGCGCCGGAAAATCGAGCTCCGAGGCGGCGCCGAAAAAAGGCCATTCCAATACAATTTTGTCTTTTGAAAATGCTGAATTTCTGCTTCTGGCGCCGAAGCCTTCCCCGGAATTAGGTTTTCGCTTGCAATTTTTCCCAACATGCTGCTCTCGCTGAGGCGCCAGCCTCATTTTCGGGCCCCGCTCGTTCCGAATCGTGCTCTCGCTGCAGCGCTGGCCTCATTTCCGTGCTTCCGCTCGTTCCGAATCGTGCTCCCGCTGCAGCGCTGGCCTCATTTCCGCGCTTCCGCTCGTTTCGACTCGTGCTCCCGCTGCAGCGCTGGCGTCATTTCCCGTGCCATGCCACGGCATGCAACGCAATGCTAGGTTGATACTACGCTTCGCGGTGCTCTTCTACGCCATGCCACGCCGTGCTCTACAATGCATCGCGTACCCTTTCGGGATCATTGCCCTGCTCGACATCCGACTGTGCGAGTAGAGAGGGGATCTGCGCCATGGTAAGGGATGGGAGGGAGGGGTCGGATGCCAGATATGACGCGAGCGCACCTAGCTTGTCCCTTCCCCCCTCCTCCTCCTCCTCCTCCTCCTCCCCCCCCTCCTCCCCCTCCTCCCCTCCTCCCCCTCCTCCCCCTCCTCCTCCTCCTCCCGCCTCCTCCGCCTCCTCCGCCTCCTCCGCCTCCTCCGCCTCCTCCGCTCCTCCGCTCCTCCTCCTCCTCCTCCTCCTCCTCCGCCTCCGCCTCCGCCTCCGCCCCAGCCTCCGCTTGCCGCCTCCGCCTCCCGCCTCCTCCTTCTCCTCCTCCTCCTCCTCCTCCTCCTCTCTCCTCCTCCTCCTCCTCCCTCCTCCTCCGCCTCCTCCGCCTCCTCCGCCTCTCCGCCTCCTCCGCCTCCTCCCTCCTCCTCCTCCTCCTCCTCCGCCTCCGCCTCCGCCTCCGCCTCCGCCTCCTCCCTCCCTCCCTCCTCCCTCCTCCCTCCTCCCTCCCTCCTCCCTCCTCCCTCCTCCCTCCTCCCTCCTCCTCCTCTCCCCCTCCTCCCTCCTCCTCCTCCCTCCCTCCTCCCTCCTCCCTCCTCCCTCCTCCCTCCTCCCTCCTCCCTCCTTCCTTTCCTCCCTCCTCCCTCCCCCCTCCCCCCTCCTCCCTCCTCCCTCCTCCCTCCTCCCTCCTCCCTCCTCCCTCCTCCCTCCTCCCTCCTCCCTCCTCCCCCTCCTCCCTCCTCCCTCTCCCTCCTCCTCCTCCTCCCTCCTCCTCCCTCCCCCTCCTCCTCCTCCCTCCTCCCTCCTCCCTCCTCCTCCTCCTCCTCCCTCCTCCTCCTCCCCCGTCCTCCTCCTCCTCCCTCCTCCCCTCCTCCTCCTCCTCCTCCTCCTCCTCCTCCCTCCTCCTCCTCCCCTCCTCCTCCTCCTCCTCCTCCTCCTCCTCCTCTCTCCCCTCTTCTCTCACACTTGTCCCCGTCCCTCCCTTTATCTCCCCTCCCCTCCCTCCCCATCCTCCCCCCCCTACTTCCAAGCAATGGGGCTCGAGAATTTGCAACGGCGGACTCTCTTCCGAGCCCGTTGTCTCGTGCGAACCGTGCGTCCGCCTCCTGCCCAGCGGCAGGACGCGAGGCGTGCCAGCGGCTTGAGGGGCACGCCTGATCGGTGTGGCAAAAATCGAAGCAAGAACGACGACGAAGCTAACAACCTGGCTCCGCAGCCCCCTTGGCGAGGAAGCCGTGCTGCATTCCGAGCGTGCGCCAATTACAATACGAAGAAGTTCCGAGCACGCGCCAGTTCCAGGATGGGGAGGCAGTATCTGGTATATCCCACTTGTCCTGATGGTACTAGCTGGATCTATCGCGATCGCATCAAGGAGAAGGGCTGCACGTCGTGTGTCATGTGCGGGTTGGCATGGCACACGACTGCAGGCAATGACAATTGACCTGGCAGCACGGCACCGACACTTAACAAGACCGACAATCAGTTAGAGCTGCTGCTCTTGGTGCTGGCAGACCAGTACGAAAGGCCAAGAAATATTTAGATGAATCCAAGATTGCGCAGTTGGAACTGACTTGCCCGCAATTGGCGGCCCCAACACCCCAGCCGACGCCGACACCTACGCCATGTGAAGCCCTGGAGACGGCAGCCCAGGAGTTACGACAAGTGCAGGCTGCGGGCATCAAGCTCAGGAAGCGCCTCCAACGCAACGCGGAGGAGCAGAAACAGTTCCTGGAGAAGCTGGCAGCCAACGCGGAGGCGCGGGAGCAGGCAGAGCTGGACGTCGATGGATGGGCGGCGGCGACAGGCACCGCGCCAGAGGCCACGAACACAGACAGCAGCCAGAAGAGGACTGCCCATAGTTGGACCTTGAGGAGCTCCAACTGCTCGACGAGGAGGAGAATGGTCAGCACCAGAAGGCCAGACAGGAGGCTCAGCAGGCCGAGCAAACCCTCGAAGCAGCCAAAGAAGCTACCTTGCAGAGGAAGCGGGCGCAGGAGCGGCTCGACGGCATCCGCGCGAAGGCTGCGGCATCGACGCGAGGGGCAGCGGATGGAGAACCTGCTCTGGCAGCTTCGGAGGGCCAGGCCGGGCCCGCTGATCGAGACCGTGGCGAGCTGCCCAGAGGAGGCTACGACTTCACCAGTGAGGAGCATGCCAAGAAGTGCCTGGAGCACACCAAGCGCATCCACGAGAGGAGTCGTACGGCGTGTCCTGCAGGTGCGGCTACCCCTCCCCAAGCCCCGAGACAAGCTGCGGCGGCGAACAAAGGGTAGAGAGGGTGGCAAAGTTCGGCTTCAGGATCCGGAGTGCGAGATCGCACATCATGAAGGAGATAAGCCAGCAGGTGATACGGGGAGGTATGGCGGCATATTCGTGGGGAGTATCACGCAGTGCAATACATCAGTTCGCCAGTTTATCATAGAATCCACGTGTGACATCGTGGGCCTTGTCGAGCACCACCTAAGCAAGGCAAAAGCAGAGAACGAAGCAAAGCGGCTGCAGCAACGTGGCTGGGCGTCCTAGCACACATCTACAGCGGCAACCAGAACCGGGAGATCGACCAGCGGGACCCACGGTAGAGTATGCTGGCTTCGTCGATCGCGACATCAGACTTCAGTTCATGTGCCAACGATACGAGGCGAACATACCCTTGCAGGCGAACTCATGGATATCTCAGAGGCGTGCTGGGATCTCAAAGGCGAAGTACGTATCATCATGTTTGTTATTACCTGGACAGTGGTCAAGGGCTGAGGGGAACCAACGCGACCAAGATGAAGCAGATAAGAGTATTTCTACGCCGTGGTCTGATACCGGAGAGTGGAACGTAACCCCTCAAGAATGCTTGCAATTACCATGGGCAGCCAAGTTGCAGGCGCAACCGGTGGTACCAACAAGTGGCACGGCAACCTGCTCCAGTGGCAATGGAAGGGTCCTCGACTGCCTCATCTGCCCCCCCTCCTTCAGGCATTTCTTAGCAGAGGTGGAAGCAGTCACCAAAGTACCTTGGCGACCGCATGTTGGCCTCCACATCAGAATCAGACGGCAACTACTCGCGCTGCAAGCACTAGGGCCTGGAGGGAGCAGCTCGAAACCAAGCACCACATCAAGAGACCCAGACTGACAAGGGCCTCAAACGCAAGCAGCGTGACCGCGAGAAATATGATGAGAAGCTGGTGAGCACCATCAGCGGCCAGGTGCAACATGAGGGAGGT